ACCTGACTAAGTTCTTTGAGGCCTTGTAGGTTTAAGCCATCTGGTCCTGGAGATTTATAGTTTTCTAGCCTCTTACTCACCTCACTCTCTGTCAGCCACTGGGGTTCCCCCAGTCCATTGTTAGTAGAATTCTTATTCAATTATAGCCCTCTCTCTCGTCTGTAAGAACAGAAGAGAAGGAAGTGTTCAATAACTCTACTTTCTCCCTGTCACTTGCAACCAGATTTCTTAGGGTTTATTTTACTTTGCATAGCTATTTATTCTTCGTAGCATATTTTTGCTGCTCTCATTGAGCTTTTGTATTTTTGTTGCATTCCTTGTAGTGCTTGAATGCCAGTAATGACCTGTCCATCTTAAACTTTTAAAGGACAATGTTTTCTGATTTATTAACTCTAGAATTTAACCAACCTGGTTTAACTTTCGCTCTTTTAAACTTGTTAGTGACACGCTATTGGTAACTTCCTGGCACAATGTTTAAGAAAACATGGCTTCCCTGTTAACCAATAGTGATATTCCAAATGTCCCAGACCCACTTACCTGGTAAAAAATGTCCTAGGTGTATTCTTCTCAGTGGGAAGCTCTTGTCATTGGATGGAATGATTGATGGGCACCATTCACTTTGAATAGATTTTAATAGCACATGCATGAAGAATAGGGAAGGAGGGTGAAGGTAGCACAGGATACCTGTAGGTTTACTGTCATCTTCTGGCACTCGTGGCACTCCATGTCCTTGAGCACCTGTCATACCATCCAGGGGTTCTGAGACTGGAGCTGCAAGGGAGGCCACCCTCATCAACTCAGACTCCACCAAGGTGTGTGAGAAGAATCAAAATTTGGGCCTGATGGCTTAGTTCTGGCAGCTCTTTACAAAATGAGTGGGGCCCTCCAAAGTGAGGGGACATCCAAAATCAGAAATCCATTTGAATGAAGACTAAAAAGCGTGCCAGAAAGTTTAGTTCAGGGGTTGTGAACTTAGAGCCAATGAGCATCCTGTTATTGGTTGATTGAGCCCTGATGAAGGGTGATTCCTGACCCCTGAAACATGACGGCTGTTCATAACTTCTTGTTGTCATTTATCAAGCCAATAAAGGTTTTTTGGACCCTTGAGATGATTGGCTGGCACTCTTTTTAGGCTTCATTCATGTGGATTCCTCCAATACTCTATCTGCCCCCAGAGTGTCCTTAAACTTTTGGCTTAAACCCAAACACTAAAATCTCATATAAGCTCTAACACGTTGATGTCACTTCAAAAGTAGTTTTTAATCTTTTTATATCTGCAGCTTTTATTAAAATAAAATGTGACAATTCTGCCATTAAAGTCCTTGTTCGGGTTCTTCCTGTTACGGCATGACAGCAGTCTCCCAATTGTGCCCCTAAGTTGTCGTTTGCCTGAAGAAGGAACCGTGCTGGTTCCGAAACGTTGCTGTAAAATGCTACACTATTTCTAGACAATATACAAAATTGACTTGGCTTTGCATTGGAGTGCGAGTGACTTCCTGTTTGGACTTAAGTTGTCACCGTGTCACAGGCACCCCTGGAGGAGACTACAAGCAGCTGTGCTGTCATTGTGCAGGCATGGTCTACCGTTGGCACTTTCAAAGCATTAATCTGCAGTCAGCACCAAAGCGGGAGCGATTGCATGTAGCAAATTAAATATCATCCAGTTAGAGTTTTGATCTACTTTAAAATTTCAATACTGTGAACTGAAAAATGATCATGTCTAAAACAATTTTTTTTTCTGCATCAAGCACACAAGGCTGGCCAGTTATTGTCATCTGTCTTTATTCCAGTTGTTCGGTTGCGGAATCTTCGTCAAGACACAGGACAACTGGTCTGAAAATATATGCATTTGAAGATGTGATAGAACAAAATATATCAACTGACCACCCCATCAGCAATGACTTATTTTTAAGAACATGAATATAATGTTAACACGTAATAATATCTGATTGCAGTATATGCCGTTGTAAAGTATAAAGATTTTTCTAAGCTCAAATAAAAAATAAAATGGATTAAATGCCAGTTTTAGAAATTAGCTAACTTATTGAACTGGTACATAAGACTGGCTACAGGGAGAGGGTGGTCAAAGAATATTTCCTATTACCATTTTTATTTACTTGATCTTTCAGCATAATGCAGGTTAAAGTGCTACAGTCATGCTCTACAAATTAAGGGGTTAGGGTGCGAGGCAAGTCAGTACAGGGCTAGGAACAGAAGGCAAGCCAAAGAAGAGGTAGAGAGGTAAGACAGGCCAAGAAATGGTTTGGGGAGGGTTGGCAAACCAGAGAGGACAGGAAGATTAAAGGGAATGTATCCTTATATTAACGATTTTAGATAAACATATAACTAAGATCACTTTGCTGTAAGCAATCATATCAATGTATGTTTTTTTCTTAAACATTGTTTCTATTTTTTTAAATTTTAAAATGATATATGTATATGGAGGAAGTCATGCTTGCTTTTAACATAAACAGGTTCTGCACAACGGGTGTGCTTTGTTGCTCCTTCTCACAATGCAAGTCGTTGAAAACCATGCACTCCATGTGTGGCTGATTTCTTACTACAGCTCAACAGCTGTTGAAAAATTAAATAACTGTACTGAGCCAGCAAGAGCTCCATCTAATTTATAATCTATACATGCTTTATATTTGATCCAAGAGCAACATTGTGGAAGAGCAAGCTTGAAAAAGGCATATAAAAATGATTTAAAGGTAAACTCTACAAAAATAATATAAAATATGTTCTCATTGAAGTTACTCTATACTTTCCCTTTAAGCAGACCAGGTAACAGGTAAAAGGTCACCCCCTATACACCTAATTCTGGTACTTCAGCATTGCATGTTTGCTGGGAAAATGAACAGTATGTTGCTGACAATCAGAGAATCCAATGGTGAGGTATTTCCAGTTCTGTCAATTGCAGCGGACAGATAATGGAGGTAACCATGCCAATGGATTTGTATAATGTTAAACAAATAATATGGGAGTCCACCTGAAGGGGCATCACACCATTATTATAGCCTCATAGAAGAGGGCAGAGACACCTCACCATTGGAGACTTCAAAAGATGTAAGAAGCCAGCAGGTTATTCTTCTCAATGGTTACCAGCTGTAATCGAAATATCAAATTTATGGAGGAGATGATCTTTAACCATTGTAGACAGGATAGGAAGGGCAAAGGAGATACTGAGTTAACAAGTAAATTAGATAGGGAACACTTGAAAACTAACCCAGGTGACAGGAAGGATGCCAACACAGGGGTTAAGGAATATCAGTGGGTTAGGAAGATAAGAACAGTTCAGGCTAAAGTAGAGGAGGCAGCCCAGGACACATTTCATTAAGAGTTTTTTTCTGGGGAGTAGATATAATTAGGAAGAAAGAGTTTTCAAAAGAGTTAAGGGATCACAGAGAAAGAGTTTGGGCCAGCAGACGGGTTAGACAAAAAAGGCAGGAGTGGGAATTAAGAGATAGGTTCGGGAAAACAGATATATAGACAAGCCCTGAGGAGGAGATATATAGACGAGCCCTGGGGAGGACTCAGAGAAGGAAGTATTGGAGGAAAATTAGAGATGTAGGCAATGGAGAAGAGTTTGTGACACAAACCAAGGAGAGGGGTAGAACAATAAATAGAGAAGCAGGCCAAGGGAAGGGGTAAAATAGGCAATTCAAGGAGAGGGGTCAGACAGGCAAGCTAGCTAAGGGGTTAGAAAGGTAGGTCCTGAAGATGACTTAAAGAGGCACACCAAGAGGATAGGTTAGAGAGGCAGGCCATGCTGAAGGGTAAGAGAAGCAGGCCAAGGAGAGGTGAGGCCCTAAAGGGGGTTAGAGAGACATAGGTCCGGGAGATGGGTTGGAGAGACAGGTCAAGAATAGGGGTTAGAAAGCTAGGCCAAAGAGAGGAGATAGAGAGGCAAGCCAAAGAGGGGACTTAGAGTTATGAGCCAAGGAAACAGGATAGATAACAAGGCCAAGAAGAGGCGTTAGAAGGCAGGCCAAGGTGAGAAATGTAAGAGACAGGCCAAGAAGAGTAATAGAAACAAGCCATGGAGGGGTGTTGGAAAGGGCAACCATTCCAAGACACAGTATAATAACAGTAGGCAGGCATGTTAAGAAGAGAAAGCATTCCAAAACAAGATTTAGAAAAAGAAGGTTGGTCATGAAAATGGAAAAGGGGGTAATCAGGCTATGCAAATGTTTAGTGAGATTTGACAGTCCAGAAAGGGGCTAGGAAGAGTAACCAGACAGAAAAACCTCTTTGCATAGACAAAATAGACAGACAATATTAACAAACATCAAAAAATTAGAAAATCATAGACACGCTTTTGAAGTATCATAGACCGTGAGTTATCTTCCCCAATTGGTTAACTAACGTTGTGCCTCTTAAACCCTGTTTAATTGTGCTATATTACGATTTAAAATCCTGTACTGCAAGAAAACAGGATACCAGGGGCAGATTAAAGTACAGTTTCAGTGAGAGGTATTTAGTCGTTTATGCCATGAGTATGTTCCATCTGAGCCCACTGGGCAGTGTATAAAAATGGTTTGACTTCTGCATAATTCAGACGATATAAACAGCGGAGTCTCATAACGCTTCTCCACCATCATTTTATTGGCAAAAAAAAAGAGAGATGGACCCAAGACGTATTGCACAGTAGCATGACACAGAGGACAAAATTGCTGTACGCTGCAACTGATTTCCCACCCACGAGTGCTGTTCAGATGAAACAGGCCACTGGAAAGCATTAGGTGAAAGCGCACATGATGTCCCTCTTCTCCGACTAGATCAAGGGTCCCTTGATCTAAAAGAAAAGGGAGCCCTGACTGTTGGAAGCATGGCACTTGGTGGGCCTTTCTCTCCCATGGCAACCTAATTACATTATCATCATCATCAAATTCATATTATTCATATGAATTAATAGGACTGTGACTGCTCCATTCCTGGCCAGGGTGGGAAAGTTTGTGGCACCTTAAACTGTGTGAGGGGTTAGGGGTCTAATTTACCCTGTAATTCCCAGCAGCCATATCTCTGCAATTATTGTCCTCAATGGTCTCCTGGTATGCAATACACTAATTCATTTCTCTGCTTTTGCCATAAATAGAAAGGAAGAAGGTAGGGTTATACGTTGCTCCTTTGCACATAGTATAAGTCTTTCATTTATTAGAGCCATGCTTTTAAATGTCATGCTTCTTGTTGATGTTTTTCTTCCATACAAGTGAGTGAGGAACTTCTTGGGCAACGTGCTATCTGAATGTCCCAAACTAGAACTTCCTCTGTTATTTTTTTCCCTGCGGATGTTCATTGGGCAAGGGATGGACGGATGATGCTGGTCTGATCTTGGGTCCCTGTGATGTTTTACTTAAACACATAGTTGATGAAGACCTGGCAGGCGAGAAAAAGGCAAAGTAGCAGCCAGTGTCGGGACGTCAGTAGTGAGGAACTGGAAAGCGAGCACTTGGTGAGTGAGCCGTGATTGGTCAGCGTGTTGAGGTTCCTGGAAATATTTTTTAGAAAAATGATTCAGATTAGTCAAGACTACGAGCATTGGGCATGCATAAAACACATCCTAATCCAACAAGGCCCTTGTGCCCAACCTGCCACCTGCTTACCAAATGCAGCCGTTGGGTGCTTATTCTATTGCTCTTGGGCCCAAGCAGCAAACAATGGAATTGAGATCATTGATATGTAAAGGGACTGTAATGACAGTGATCTCTACCAGTCTTATGTTTCTCCTGCTTCAGGTCTCCAATCTCCAACCAAAACCTGTGGAATGTCCCTAGTCTCTGACCATCTCCCATATTATGTTTACAAGCCTCCAACTGGTATAGAGTGGAGGAGCAAGCAGTGCTAGATCAGTAAGCTGTATATAAGGTGACAGTGTGTGCCTTGTCAGATGGTGAAGCGGGAAGCATTGATGGATCAGAAAGCGTTATATAAGGTGACAGTGTGTGCCTTGTCAGATGGTGGAGGAGGAAGCAGTGCTGGATCAGTAAGCTGTATATAAGGTGACCGTGTGTGCCTTATCAGATGGTGGTGGAGGAAGCAGTGATGGATCAGTAAGCTGTATATAAGGTGAACGTGTGTGCCTTGTCAGATGGCGGAGGAGGAAGCAGTGCTGGATCAGTAAGCTGTATATATAAGTGACAGTGTGTGTGCCTTGTCAGATGGTGAAGCGGGAAGCAGTGAAGGATCAGTAAGCTGTATATAAGGTCACAGTGTGTAGAAAGAAAGGGTTTGTGTTCCTACCTGGAGATCCGACTGGTTATAATTGCCCTGATTCGATTTGCATAGTAGCTTACTTTATCCGATCCATGACCAAGATAAACTTGTACAAAAAAGCAGAAAATTTAACCCGATAAAAGATAACGGGTTAAGTAGCGGTCAAATTAAGGATCCGGACAAGTCAGTGAATAGAAAAAGGAGATAATTTTATTGAAAACACATATACGTTTATACATTTAACTCATTAAATACTATTAAAACCATGGATAACATGCAGTCGCAAATTAGATGTGGATCAACCCTGATGAATATTGCACTTGGGTCCCCCCCGTGAGGGGAGGTGACCGATGCAGCTATTACTTCGGTCCCTTCTCCTCAAACAATTCTCATATATATGTCAACCTGCGTGAACTGCAAGGACCGGAGGAATGGTCCCGACCGTGGAGGAAGAGGAAGAGAAAATGAGGGGAAAGGAGGTTATCTTCTAGTTTTCCTACTTGGCTATAGTAAAGGATTCTGGACAGGTCAGTGTTTGTAGCGTTGATTTCCTCTGCTTTCCGTGGGTAATATCAAATATATTAAAGATGTTATCTGTTAGTATGTTGTTTCTTATGTCAATTTCTTCTTATTTCGGAAGGATTTATAATCACTTTACTTCCAAGTTATGTTGTCTTCTGTTGCCTGATTATTATTTGAAGATAAGTTCTCCTGTTAATTAGTATTAAATGTCACTGGCTTTGGTTTAGCCGTATGTGCAGTTAACTTCTTCCAATGTGTCCACAGTGAATTGCTCTAATGAGAGTGCTCTCATTAGAGCAATTCACTGTGGACACATTGGAAGAAGTTAACTGCTTGGGTGGGGACCCAAGTGCAATATTCATCAGGGTTGATCCACATCTAATTTGCGACTGCATGTTATCCATGGTTTTAATAGTATTTAATGAGTTAACTGTATAAACGTATATGTGTTTTCAATAAAATTATCTCCTTTTTCTATTCACTGACTTGTCCGGATCCTTAATTTGACCGCTACTTAACCCGTTATCTTTTATCGGGTTAAATTTTCTGCTTTTTTGTACAAGGTCACAGTGTGTCCCTTGTCAGATGGTGGAGGAGGAAGCAGTGCTGGATCAGTAAGCTTGGTTTTACCTGTGTATATCCTGTTGTGTTTTCTGTAAAGATAAAACTGCAGCCTGAATTTCTTTCAATTCTTTTTTTTCTTTTCCACATTGCGAACACGGCCCTGGAAAACCTTTCCAAAAAGAAACAAAAAGTTAATAAAACTGCACTGAGGTTATAATAATACAAAAAACACACAAGTCTCAGACAATTAGGGTTACAATACATAACTATGTAATGCAATGTACCCAGCTTTCAGACCCGTAGATCACCGTGTACAGTGGAGTTCTCTGGGCAGCTGCAAATCAATGTTTTATGGTGGCATCAATTTGAGGCTTACAAGAGGGTGACATCAGGGTCCTCCAGGTTACGCTATAGGATATCAGCTGTGTGTAACTAAAAATTGCTTTCTCCCTCACTTAAAGGAGAACTATGGGGTTAAGGCTTTTCCACAAACTAGCGTCCTCCCGTCACCCTAGGCTCAGTGTAGCGCGAGCTGTAGCTCGCGGTATACTGAGACGCCGCAGTTGAAGCGGATCCCGACAATTATGTCTGGATCCGCCCAGCTGCGTGAGTGACAGCTGGCTCTGCCTATCTAAAGGCAGAGCCAGCTGTCCCCGCCCCCCCCCCCGTCCGTTCCGCCAGTCAGCGCTGGCGGATCGGAGCGGGGATTGGGGAATTCAGCCCCTCCCCTGTCATGGCAGAGAGCCGTGATAGGATCGAGAGGTGAGCGGACGCCGGTATGTGTTCACTCACCTCCCGATCTACTGAGCCGACCTGTGACAGTCTCATTGTCACAGGTCGGCTAGAACTATGAGGTGAGTGAAAAGCACTCGCCTCATAGTTCTCCTTTAAGTATTGCTAGACCATAACACATTTTAGCAATGATCCATACAAAAGTCTTCAGTAGAATGAATGGCTGTGCATTGCCACATGCAGGCTGAAAGCTAAAATAAGGCTTGAGGTGGGAGTGACTGCTTTGCAAGCTTGTGGGCCAGAAGGTACTTAGTAGACATGTAAGCTGCGGAAAAATTTGGTTCAGTTCGGTTCGGATATTTTGTTATTTCGGGATTCGGATCCGAAATTCAATTCGGTACGGGTTTCGGATTTGGACGAAATCCGAATTTTCAATCGTTTCGGACGAGTTTACGAATATTAATTGCGAATACCACAGAAAACTATATACAGATATTAATACTAAAGCTGATTCTCCTAGACCCGAATGGCACTTGGGTCGGGGAGCCATATACATATATTACTAAAGCTGACCCGTATGGCATTTGGAGCTACCGAATGCAATTTCGTAAATTCGGATTCCAAATGCCATTCAGGTCTGGGAGCCTCACCTTTTAGTATTATATTTATATGGCTCCCAGACTTGAATGGCATTCTACCGAATTTCCGAATTGCATTCGGTTCCGGAATGCCATTTGGGTCTGGCAGCCATATACATAGATTACTAAAGCTGAGGATTTCAGACCCGGATGGCATTCGGGAGCTCCCCAATGCAATTTGGATATTCAAGTCTCGAATGCCATTCAAGGTCTAGGAGCCTCAGCTTTAGTATTATATGTATATACTGTATATGGCTCCCATGTTGCCGTAACGAAAATTCGTGTTCAGACCCATTTGGATGCGTTAAACCGAAAAAACACATCTGATTGGCAAGAAAAGTCACATGTCCGATTCAGTTTAGTTTTTGACCGAAATTCGGATGGGATCCGAAATTCGTAAACGGAAATTTGGATTTGGACACATCCGGATTTGGAAATTCGGATGTGTCCGAATTTCGGAAAATTCATCTGAATTTTGATTCGGAACAAAACAAATCGCACATGTCTAGTGCTTAGGTGAGTTTATCGAAGACAAAAAGTTCAGGGGGTCACCGTACCGGCAGTGTCACCAATTTCTGCAGAATTACAGGAATTGAAATGTGTTGTTGCCCTCTTCCTTATTCCATGTATCCATCTGACCCATCAAAAGCGGGCGAATTATAAGAGTAGGAGCGCTACTTTGTTTTGGCAGGTTAAATAATTCTTGCGTGTTTCCATATAATACAAAGTGATGCATGTACGCTATTGTATTTTGTATCTTTTTTTTTCTATATCTTTTTATATGAAGCTTTCTGAGAAACCTGAGTCAACATTGGTTGAAACAGAATGGATGAGCGGGGCTTGGAGCAATATGGTACCTTCCTCATCAGAAGATTCCTGTCCCGGCTCTGGGGTGGAACAGCTGCTCTCGGTGGTCTGGCTGCTGATGGATGGCTGCTCACTGGCCTTACGACGTCGGCCCTCCTGATTAATCCTCTAGTAAAAAGAAACACGGTAACATAAATACATCTTTTGTTAATGTGTTCGCATCCGTTTACTATTTTGAGGCGGCTTTGAAAAATGCTATATTTACAATAAGGTGTAAGATGCTCTGAAGGAGATATACAATTGAGAAGCAATGCAAAGCAATGGTGAAGAGACACTGTGCGCCTGAAAAGGCGAAACGTTGTCATTGGAGGTTTAGTGGAGAAGACGTTGGTGGGCTCTCATCTGGGATGAAGGTTGGATCTGGGATGAAGGTTGGATCTGGGAGGAAGGTTGGATCTGGGATGAAGGTTGGATCTGGGATGAAGGTTGAATCTGGGATGCAGGTTGGGGCTTGGATGAAGGTTGGATCTGTGATGAAGGTTGGATCTGTGATGAAGGTTGGATCTGGGAAGAAGGTTGCATCTGGGATGAAGGTTGGATCTGGGATGAAGGTTGGATCTGGGATGCAGGTTGGATCTGGATGAAGGTTGGATCTGGGATGAAGGTTGGATCTGGGATGCAGGTTGGATCTGGGATGAAGGTTGGATCTGGATGAAGGTTGGGGTTTGTGAATGGACATGTAGCTAAAAAGAGATGTGGGAACAAAAACCACCTGGTGTGGTTTTATATGTTTTTAGCCATGATGAAAGCTTTGTGTATTCTATCTGAGATTTCACAAATAAAAACTGATTTGAAGGCACAAATATCCTGGGGCATATTTAGTTGTGAAGTTCAATCCAAACCTTTTCTTTGTTGTCTCCTAGATGGGACCAAGAGTCATCATGATGTCATGGGTATGTCATTAATAGGCAAATGAGCCCCATTACCTTGCGTGCCAGGTCTGTGCGTGGCGCCAACATGCTGGTAAGATTCCTCTTCACAGTCTGCAGGACTCCGTCTTTCTCGTACTGCGCAATGTCAGTTAGCGGATGCCAGGGGCGCATGCTGTGAAAACACAGACAATTATTGCTCAAATCAGGCATTCTGCTGCATGGATAACCCAGGGAGTGCAACAGTATTAAGATAATAAAATCCAAGTAATTCATAATTCTGTGAAGTTCTTGAGAAATTACCTCATACAGGAGTCTTCTTATTGATAACCCCCTTGTTTCCTATTGCAAGTCAAAAGTATGCATAAAGAACACTAGGTGGTGCCCCCATTTGTTGACAACTGTCTTGGTGGTGTGACAGTGGCAGAGGGAGGATTGCCTTTTTAGGGCCAATTGACAAGTTCTCTAGGAATACTACCTTGCCTAACCACTTTCTGACCACTTTCTGAGTTCAAGGCAGGTCAATGATAGAGATTTTAGAGTGGTAATGACCTACTCCCCTCCCCCTTGTGATAGTTCTAGGGTCTGGCAATTGGCCACCCAGGCCTGAGCATTGCATTCTGAGAGGAAAGGAAGAAGGTTACATATCCACATACCTGGAATTACCCGGTACTCTGAAGGTTCTGATAGATGTGTGTATCAGTGGGTAGGGAGGTGTTCTTTCAAGAGAACCTGTGATTTGAATTGCAACTGCAGTTTGGTAGGCATCAATACCAAAACACAGATGGAGCTCCCATTTGTGAATTCCACTTGTGGCTAGCCTACCC